TCTTGTAATTGGAAGTAGAGGGATTTATTTCACCCACCCTTCAGCACATTGCATACGTAGAAAAGGGTGGTATTGGGGAACGAAAACACACATCTTGTAATCGGAAGTAGAGGGATTTATTTCCCCCACCCTACAGCACATTGCATACGTAGAAAAGGGTGGTATTGGGGAGCGAAACACACATCTTGTAATTGGAAGTAGAGGGATTTATATCACCCACCCTTCAGCACATTGCATACGTAGAAAAGGGTGGTATTGGGGAGCGAAACACGCATCTTGTAATCGGAAGTAGAGGGATTTATTTCACCCACCCTTCAGCACATTGCATACGTAGAAAAGGGTGGTATTGGGGAGCGAAACACACATCTTGTAATTGGAAGTAGAGGAATTTATTTCACCCACCCTTCAGCACATTGCATACGTAGAAAAGGGTGGTATTGGGGAGCGAAACACACATCTTGTAATTGGAAGTAGAGGGATTTATTTCCCCTACCCTTCAGCACATTACATACGTAGAAAAGGGTGGTATTGGGGAGCGAAACACACATCTTGTAATCGGAAGTAGAGGGATTTATTTCCCCCACCCTTCAGCACATTGCATACGTAGAAAAGGTGGTATTGGGGAGCGAAACACACATCTTGTAATCAGAAGTACAGGGATTTATTTCACCCACCCTTCAGCACATTGCATACGTAGAAAACGGTGGTACTGGGGAGCCAAACACACATCTTGTAATCGGAAGTAGGGGATTTATTTCACCCACCCTTCAGCACATTGCTTACGTAGAAAAGGGTGTTATTGGGGAGCGAAACACACATCTTGTAATCGGAAGTACAGGAATTTATTTCCCCCACCCTTCAGCACATTTGCATACGTAGAAAAGGGTGGTATTGGGGAGCGAAACACACATCTTGTAATCGGAAGTAGAGGGATTTATTTCACCCACCCTTCAGCACATTGCATACGTAGAAAAGGGTGGTATTGGGGAGCGAAACACACATCTTGTAATCGGAAATAGAGGGATTTATTTCCCTCACCCTTCAGCACATTGCATACGTAGAAAATTGGGGGTGGTATTGGGGGAGCGAAACACACATCTTGTAATCGGAAGTAGTGGGATTTATTTCACCCACCCTTCAGCACATTGCATACGTAGAAAAGGGTGGTATTGGGGAGCGAAACACACATCTTGTAATCGGAAGTACAGGATTTATTTCCTCCACCCTTCAGCACATTGCATACGTAGAAAAGGGTGGTATTGGGGAGCGAAACACACATCTTGTAATCGGAAGTAGAGGGATTTATTTCACCCACCCTTCAGCACATTGCATACGTAGAAAAGGTGGTATTGGGGAGCGAAACACACATCTTGTAATCGGAAGTAGAGGGATTTATTTCCCCCACCCTTCAGCACATTGCATAGGTAGAAAAAGGTGGTATTGGGGAGCGAAACACACATCTTGTAATCAGAAGTACAGGGATTTATTTCACCCACCCTTCAGCACATTGCATACGTAGAAAAGGGTGGTATTGGGGAGCGAAACACACATCTTGTAATCGGAAGTAGAGGGATTTATTTCACCCACCCTTCAGCACATTGCATACGTAGAAAAGGGTGGTATTGGGGAGCGAAACACACATCTTGTAATCGGAAGTACAGGGATTTATTTCCCCCACCCTTCAGCACATTGCATACGTAGAAAAGGGTGGTATTGGGGAGCGAAACACACATCTTGTAATCGGAAGTAGAGGGATTTATTTCACCCACCCTTCAGCACATTGCATACGTAGAAAAGGGTGGTATTGGGGAGCGAAACACACATCTTGTAATCGGAAGTAGAGGGATTTATCCCCCCCTTCAGCACATTGCATACGTAGAAAAGGGGGTGGTATTGGGAGCGAAACACACATCTTGTAATCGGAAGTACAGGGATTTATTTCCCCACCCTTCAGCACATTGCATACGTAGAAAAGGGTGGTATTGGGGAGCGAAACACACATCTTGTAATCGGAAGTAGAGGGATTTATTAAAACCCGTTGAAATTATCAAGACATGTTCATTTTTGTATATATTTTTATATGTGATAAGTCCTTTGGGTCAATGGTAATTATTAAACTTGTTCTTAACTTAATATTGCTAAATCAATTATGAAATACATTACGCAGTACTGATACATTTATAAGCGTATTATATCAGTGTAAATGAGAATGAAGTGTATATTAGAATGAATTGTGTTTGTTTACTTTCAGTATAAATTAATAATTTTTTTAAAAAATAATCTTTTGTTTTCGACTTTTTAATATGCTCGCGCCCCCTTCCTCTCAAAAAGGAGGGAGTCCCACAACATCAGAAACACGCTAACTTATTGTAATATAGTTTCTCTATTAGGATTTTTCAATATCGGGTGCATCCCTTTTGTATTCATCCTGTATATAATATTTAAATGTTGAAATGTATGTATACTGGTAAACTAAAGGTATAATAAATCTATTTTTACTGAATTTATAAATCCGAAGTTACCTACATTTGGCTTAAAAATTACCAAGTGTTTCGATATAAAATTTTAAGAATGAAGGTAACTACAATCATTTCCAACCTTTTTTGACTGTCCAGAAATAAATAGCCCCATCGCCAATATTCCTTTGTATAAATTTTGCAAAATTGTCTATTGTGGGGAGAAAATGACTCTAAATTAAAATTATCTGAATGGAATCCACATATGACCTTCCTAACTATCTAGAAACCACCTTTTGAAACAATACAGTAATTACTAAAGGAAATCGATTTTTATAACCAGTAGGTGGAATTGGATATCGTCAGCTTTGCTGTGAGGTGTGGCTCGTTGCATTAGACACTGTCCATCGAACAGCAATTTTTATTGTTGAATTATTTCGGTTGAGTCTTGACGTAGTCGATGTGTTAAGTAATTGACAACCCTCCTATGATTGTACAATCGACAGTAGTAGCAAAGTACCAAAATAAGATAATTTCACACAGTATAGAAATCACAATTCTTATCTCACAATCAATTGATATAATTTTAATGCCTAGGCAAAGAAATTATAATGAGATGGATATCTTAATAAACGGATAATTAATTTCTCCTAAAGAAAAAGCTCTCATTACTCATGTAATTTTTATTCACGTATCCAGTTTTTGTTTTCAAAATTCTTAGCAATGCAAATTTTGTAACAATTGGCTTGAAAGCTTGCGAAAATGGATCCCTAATGTAACAGAAAGACTCTTATTGCAGCCATGAACGACTGAGTGAATATTAACGTCGCACTGTTCAGCTACACGAGGGCTTTTGGCGACGGACCTCGTCATTTTCAACCATGGTCAAGTGACGAGGCCGACTCCTGAGCTGGCACCTCCTCTCCTAACTACCACACCAACGGGAGGATGTTTAAACTCTAGACAGATTTAACGTGCATCGCTCACCTACATGGTGGGTCTTAGTTGTCTTGGCTCGAACTTGGGACAAGCCAGCCACGATCCGATACTCTGACCACTAAGCTACCACGGCCTTTTACAGCCATTTCCCTGATAAGCGTGACAAATTAAGTGAAACAGAGATCATGGTCATGGTGCAGAATGATCTTTAAACCCATTGGAAATAAAAAAGGGCGTTCGACAGGGAGATGCACTAACGTGTCTTCTCTTTAATCTAGAATTAGAAAAAGTGGCAAGAGATTCCTGTATCAACGCTAGAGGAAATATCTAATAAATCAATGCAGTTGTTGGCCTTTGCCGATGACATTGATATTATTTCTCGAACACCCACCGCACTAAGACGAGCCTTCTTATCTTTAGAGAAAGAGTCTGTCAAGATGGGAATGAAAATCAATTAGAATAAGACCAAGTGCTTGCCTTGCACTAAATCATGTTGTAACAATTCCCACTTTAAAATTGAAGAATATAATTTTGAAGTTGTTGACAGTTCGCTTATTTAGGTTCGGAAATTAACAATACAAACGATTGTACTAATGAACTCCAAAAGAGAATTACTATGACTGATAGATGTCTTAATGGGATACGAAAATCGAATTGAATAAAAAAAAAGTTCTATTGTATAAATGTCTTTTAAGATCAGTATTCACTTATGAAACTTGGTCCCTGTCTCGAACTGATGAGATCAGGATAAGTCTCTGCGGATGGAAGATTTTAAGATTTATTTTTTTTTTTTGAGGAATTCAAGAAAATGGAACGTGGCGAAGAAGATCAAATTTCGAGCTCTATAAATTATATAAAGAATCGGACATTGGTAACTTCATGAAAATACAACGAATTCAATGGTCAGGTCACGCTGTCAAAATGGACGAAAACCGCAGCGCTGAAAAAGTCTTCAATGCCCATCCAGTTGGCATACGAAGAAAGGGCAGGCCAAATCTTAGATGGATTGATGGCCTAGAAAAAGTTTTGAGAACTCCGACTTGGAGAACACTAGCAGGAAGAAGGCTGACATGTTAAAGGCTTCTTGAGAAGGCTAAGGCCCACACTGGGTTGTCGAGACACTGAGAAAGGAATAAAGGATTCCTAATGTTATGCGAGTGTCCCAAGCGTTTGATGATTTTAAGTGGACATTACACTAGAGTCAATGCTGCTAAATAAACGATCAAAGTCATAAATCGTGACGAAAGATCAAAGTCATAAATCGTGAGGGCTGTCCCTGGGGTGCTTATGTTTATTTTTGAATGGTGTTGTGCTAACGAAATTTCACCCCTTTTTTCAATTCCTACTATTATAGTTCACTCTCTCCCTAGATATATTTTTTATTTATCTGCATATATATACTTTGTTCCAATTTTCAATCGTTAATAAAATACTTTCTATTCATCCATTCAAGTTCACACATTTTTTAAACTTGTAACAGATGACACTTGATGTTAACACAGTTTTTTCAATTATTAATTCATTACTTATGTTTAATTGATGAATAAATAGTAACAAACTAATGTAATAGTTCAACACCATATATAAAAAGGAAAGACCCTCGTTGTCTCTGTAGCGCAATAATGTACGCGCGTTGGACTTCTAATCCAAAGGTCGTGGCTTCGAATACCACCTGAAATGGCCTAATTTCTGATAATGTGATTTCTTTTTGCTATACTATTTTATTTGAATAATTAAATTAAATTAATTAATAAATAGTAACAAACAAAAATAATAGTCCAACACCCTACATAGAAAGGAAAATGGAAAATTGCAAGGAAAATCGCTTTCTATTTTGCCACTTAACAGTGTGATTTTATCATATGTAGATACACATTTATATAAATTGCAATTATTTGATAAAAAGTAAATAAAATAAAAAAAATTTCTTTTTGAACTAAGTAGGAAATGACTTTAAAGAATTTATTTTATATTACTTGTTTTTCTGGGATCTATATTTAGAACGGAAAAAGCCTTGTTTGTTAAAATTTCACGAAAACAAATTTACATGAGATAAAAATCAATACAATAAAAGCACTAAAGTCACATAATGTTGTATATGATTCAGTAATATCAATATGATTCTTATAATGATTTAATTTTTTTAAAAATCATTTTAAGAATCAGTTCGACTAAGATTATACTAATACCTAAAATCAGGTAGCACATATAATTCCCCCCAACCGGTTTTTCTCATAAAAGCAAAATAAGTATTCCTTAATAATTCAAAATAAAATGGATAAAAATCTATGCAATCTGTACCGTTGCAAATGGGAATGCTTGAACTGTAGCCTCTTCAGAGCCGAAACAGAAGATAAAAATCAAGAAAAAGTTCGTTGATTTTTTTTTTATTCAAATCAACTGCAATGCAGAGAGTTTCAAATTAAATCGAATGTGATTTTAAAATCAGCTTCAATGTGAGCTAATTGTATAAGTTTTGCGTAAGGGAATTTTTGTAATAAAACAATATATTTATTTTGTTTTTATTTTTTTCAGATGTTTATTCACTGAACATTTTCGACTTCCTTTATCTGCTATATTCAAAGGACAAAGCCCATTTTGCGTAATTAATATATATTTTAATTTTGAAGTCTTCTCAGATGACGAAATCGACACCTGGACTGGCACCCAACTCCTCACATCCAAACAACTCAAACTACTTTGTACTATCAGATTTAGCGTGTATCAATAGATTGATTGATTGATTGAATATTAACGTCGCACTGTTCAGCTACACGAGGGCTTTTGGCGACGGACCACGTAATTTTGAACCATGGCCAAGCGACGTGGACGACACCTGAGCTGGCATCCCCCTCTCCTAACTACCACACCACACCAACGTTAGCGTGTATCAATCCTTGGATATATAAAGTATTGTCACACACACATTACAGTTTCCGATTTTTAGGCTTTTTTCATTACCGAGAATTTTCGAGAAATCCCAGGAAACGTAATTGTCATTCCGGGAAATACACCAAATTTTCCAAAATTTGAAAACATATTATTTTTAATTGATACCAATAATAATTATAAAAAATAAGGATACATATAAATTCCAAAATTTATACTCGTTTATATATTATGCTAAAAATTCAAAAAATATGTTAGTTATTCCTTTTTAAAGTGGGATTTGAGAAAACAAGCAATCTATGATTTTATCACTCAGCCTAGTTCTTAGATTGGGCCGTAGGTAGCCTAATAGTTAGAGCATCGGACTTCAGACCGGAAGGCCTGGTTTCAATGCTTGATACCACCAAATACCCTCCGAGTGCCCACGGAGTACGTGCTCATTAAATCAGTGGGTCCGAAAGTCTTGTGGGCTGTATCGCGAGTGCAGGGGACTAAAAAATATTCCCTCCCCTTCAGTTCCAAGTCTAAATTGTGAAGGGGGAGATAGGTAGTGTAGCCATCTATCGTCCCTTCGAGGAATTTCACCGAGATAATTCGTAATGTCACCCGTATGGTGCTCAAGGCGAAGGCCAACGACAGGCGTACTTCTAGCCCCTTGCTACGGTGAATTTCATGGGCCTCGATCTGACTACGTCAGACAGGTGGCGTTAGCCACATAGTTCTTAGCGTTATTATGAACAACCCTGCTGTAGCTGATATCTGAGACCTCAACCCAGTTTCATATTTGAGGATCGATTTGCAATTATTTCTTAATCAATCCTGAATCAATTAGTTTTCTAATGTTGCTACTAAGAGATAAATATTAATATAAGTACTTGAAAATTTATTTGCTACTGGGGTAACGATCACGTACGATGCAAATTTGAATTCTTGCTTTTAAAATATTTTATCTGTAGCTGATTTCGTGTTTATGAAATTGCTATTTTTTGTTACATAAAAATAACTAAATATTAACGTTAAAATCCAGCACAAAAGTTTAATAAAAGAAAATGACAAAAAAAAAAGTTGTAAGATTTTTTTTTAAATATTCTTCTCAAACAGTTTTGGGGTTCATTTCTTTATTCAAACTGCTGATTCAATTAATAGTTTACAATGAAGATAAATATTCGATAAAAATAAATTTTAAAAAAAATTAAATAATTTACATTTTTGAGTATAAGTACTTATCAGCGTAAATAAAGATGTTAAATTTTATCAGAATAGTCATGTTGGTAGCCTACGAAATGACGTTTCTATAGCACTTTTAGTTAGAGATGTGCAATGTTCGACAGATAGGCAGAAACTAATCGGGACTAATAGGACTCATTCCAACGACAATCTGCCAAAATTCTCCCCAAGTCTACGTGGGTATTACTGTTTCTCTTATTCTACTCTTACCCTACTACTGAGGGACATTTCTCTCTCCAAAAAATGTGGAGTGAACGATAGCAAATAGCAGCTGTGCTGCCAGCTAAAATTTTTATCTAAGTTTGAAACCCACAGTCCAATCAAAACTAGCTACCTCAGATTATTTGAGCACCGTGTAGCTCCCTGAAATTCTCAGGAATACAAAATGTATGAAACCTCATGATTTTACGAGAATCCGGGTTTCTGGGACAGAAACCCTAATTGTCGTTGCTGATAGGTTGTCGAGAATTGGCACTTTCTCAGATATTATCCTGATCATTCGGCAACAGTTTCAGAAGTTGTAATAAACTCTGTCCGCTGCAAAAAAATTCGAAATAAAATATATTCCTTGAATTCCGTTCGTGAATTTTATGTATTGCATTCCAATTACATTTGAAGGAGCAATCGATTCCCGTTAATACAGGGCTCAGTAATGCACCATTCCACTTAGTATGAATTTTATGAAGACTTCTCCTTGGCGAGCAATCGTTTGTCATATATCTTCTCGATTCTGTGACATCATCATTATTATTTTTATTATGAGATTCAGATTAATATTTTCTTAGATGAAGGTTACACTTTTCTTAAAAGCAGACACATTAATATTTTTTTTAAATTCTGTTATATTGCAATGTTTATCCACCTATATAGTAGCTGGTAGATCGGCTTTTCTATGCAGAGAGCATTACGCCGTTCTTATTCACACGTATACCCCTAAATATTGCAAGATCATTTCATCTGACATCAGGCCGGCAGTCATGCCCGAAAAAAAAACATCTGTACCCCACCTGGAAAAACGAACCTCGAGTGGAATTCGAGATTTAAGAAGGGACCACCCCACCTCAAGAGAGCGAAGAACATTCGAAAAGAGACGCGTTATGTTCTGCTCTCCTCAATTTTCCAGAAAAGTGTTCTGTAGTATTAAAACACTCCACAGTTTGAATAACTTGTAACCAAATTCAAATATTGGGATTAATGGCTGTAGATACAACAAATCAATAATTTAGTTCCTTTAGTTTAACACTTCACATCCATTTTCCCAATACGTCACAATATGAATAACCGTTTCTTGGAGAGTGCAATTTTTCCCCTGTTTGGATTTTCTTGGTAAGAGATTATTTTCAAGTGAGTGAGTGAGAGTTATATTAACGTCGCACTATGCAGGGGATTTTGGAGACATAATTCATAATTTCGAGTATCAGTCAAGCCCCGATGCACCCCCTTTCCAAACTATCACACCTCGTTACCTGAAAGACTTTGAGTTCGACAGATTTAACATGCATAATTCCCCTCTAAGTGGTGGGTCATCAGTGAGACCAGGACTCTAAACCATGACATATTCCTGTGTGAGTTTGTGACCATAGCCACCAGGTTACCACGGTCACGAGAATGCTTTCAAGACCATGGGTGATAAACTGTACGTGCATTCAACTGTTTTGCATTGGTCAAACCTTAAAAGTTCGAAAGAACTTTTTCTGTATTAAAGGAAAGGTAATGAGGTGTGTGCCAGATAATAAGGAAGAAGAAAAAGTACCCCAAAAGATCCCGCAGTCTAAGAACTTCAAAGCCACAGAGTTATTACGAAGTTATTTTTAGCAACAGGTATGTCTTGCCCAATGTATAGTAAATAAGATGAGCCATGAAGAAGGAACAAAATTCTAACATGAAACAGGGAGGAGGAAACATCCAGGGAGAATTGGTTAATAAAGCCAATTAACTCAATTTCATTTAAATATTTTAAATGTCAGAATAAGGATATTATATTGTTCTCTTTCATGTACAACGGAAATCAGACAGAAAATTCATATCAATGTTACACATCATCGCTTATTTTATATAAATACCGAAAGTTGCGGTTTAGCAACCACGAACCCAACTACCGCGTGTCAGAGGAGTTAGACTGCAATAAACACCATAACATACGTTTCTTGTGGGCGTAGATACTTCTTTTGATTCGCTGGGTGTTTGAAACTTGCGTGAATCCTTTCGAGTTGGGTGTCACATTTAGGAAGAATAAATGTAGGTAGAGTTTTACATCACACACGCCCTTTACATACATCCGTAGGAGGAATGGAACAAAAAATTCTTAAAGAACAGAAGGATGCCCATACAATAAGACTTTCAAATTATTAGATTGTATGGGAAATTTCAAAATAAATATTTGTTTCATTTTGTTACATTATCCGTTCTCGAACATCTTTCAGGAATTATTCTATACGAAAGCAATATTTAATATTCATTTATAATAAAATTGAATTAAATTCGTGAATCAAACACCTACAATCTCTTCGGGATCAGAAAGAAAAATAATTGTAATAAAAAAAGAATTTTCATTTTTTATTTTA